TTGTGCCTTCCCAATGCCACCCAGCATATTTTGCAATCAGTGTCCTAGATCCCAAGTTGGACGCCTGTTGAGGGTGGCTGCAACGAATATCTTTTAGCACCTCCAGGGGTGGTGCAATGCAATTGGGCACCAGCTCATGCAGTAGCCAGCCAATGGGATTGACACACAGCGGTCGACTTACCATTAGGACAGCGGATCGAGCAATGCCTTCCATTAGGAGAAAGCCAACGCCCCGCTCATAGGCGAGCATGGCTGCTGGCGACGCCAAGCTCAGCAGGCCTTGGAGGGACCGGGCCAGCAGGTACAGCGTTAGCCGCGGCTGCAGCGAGCACATCTTCGACAGCTCCTTGCAGTTAAGCCTTTGCAGGTACAACGCGCCCGCCAAGACGCCGGCACATCCAACCAGCAACGCCCCAATTCCCGGCGGTACGCCACGCCAAACATGGGGAAACAGGTGCACCCCCAGCTCCATAATCACTCTGCAGCAGGATAAGGCAGGGCAAGCTGTCCGTGACATACACGAATCTAGAAGGGTATAAGCGGTGCCCACTTACGGGATGCCAAGAAACAAACACAGCACCATGGTATTGCGCACCTGCGCTTTGGCGAATACGCGGCAGACACGGCAGCAGACCTTATGAAAAAGAGCTACAACTATATCCAAATGCAAAATGGATCAGCACATTATCGCACATTATCCGCTCCCTCGTTAGCCAACACGTTACCGGCTGAGCTCAACTTGTCAACAGGACATGTCAGGGCGTATCCAGGCAGTGTTACGCAAAACGGGATATGCCGATGCATCCAACTATGTTGCCGTAGCCCAGCGGCGTACACAACACACAGCAACAGCCTAGCAGCGGCGTGGACGTCCCCAATACCGCCACAGCAATGCCGACCTGCAAGTCCAAGGAACTTACATTCCCCAAGGGATCTCTCCTATAAGCAGCGTACTCCGAACGCAGCTTCGGACCACGTTCCACCACACCCCACACGCTGCCGATCCGCCGGCACTGAATGGCGCTCCTTGATCCTGTCGGGCTTCGGTGCGTTCTTGGCTGACGAGCACGCCAGCCCGATCACAAGCCCCGATGACATGCCGTCTCGCCACTTCTACCGACGCCCCCAAGCTACTGGCGCCGAAGCCTTCGCCAATTGCCGCTTTGGAGGCTGCGCCGCACTGGGCAGCCCCTGCACTGTCCGGAGCCGGCTCCTGGGAGGTAGCGGATTCAGCATGGGCGTGGGAAGCTGGCGCCTTGCAGGCCCCTGATGCTAAAGGCTGGATTGCATCGCCGTTAGACGCTGTTGCTAGGGCAATGGTGTCGCTGGCGCAGGACGGTCCGGTAGCCGGCATCTGTGACAGCACCTGCATTTCCATCCTGTAGCCCGGAACAGTTAAAAAAGGGGACATTATCGCCACATTATCACGGTGGCTTGTATGCGCACGGGAAACTAGTTCAAGGATACTGGCTTAAGTGTGCATCAGGAAACAGCACCGAAACCAATCTAAGGCCCTTGACCCCTGTACCTTGAGACTGGACAATGTGCTGCACCGACGACGTCTGCAATTTCGAACATCCGGAAGTGCTTGAAGCGCCTAAACTAGCAGACCCCATTGCATCATCATTGATAGCATCCATTGATATCAAGGCACCTACAACATGGCAGCGACCATCTTACTGCTGCAAGTTGGCTACGTTTCCCAGCTCCCGCCAAATCTACACCAATTGCTCAAATCCACAGCTCGAAGTTACGGGTGCTCAGGCCCACTTGAAAGCTGTGACTTTTCCGTTTAGGTGCCCCAACCCCCCACCAGTCCTAAAGCGATACATGCCATCTGCCTCATCTGCCTTCTTCCCATCCTAACATGGCTTCCCACCTTAACATGTATATGGAAAAACAAACAATCTCACCTGATCCGCTTGGCAGTGTGTTGCCAGCCGCAGGCCAGTGTGTACTGGAGCAAGTGATTCCCCATGTGGCTCAGTCGCCAGATGTGCCAGGTGTTGCCAGTGCACAACAGCGGACACGCGCGCGTGCCCGCGGCCTCGCTGAGAAACGTGGCCAGGTCCACAGTCAGCGCGTCCAGCTCGCTGTCGCTGCCGGCCCAGTTCACAAACGCTGCAAATAGCTCGTCTGACACCCGTACATCGTCTACAATCAAAATGGGCACCGGCTGGGACGAAGACCGTCCATCCAGGCGCGCCTCCGCAAGCAGCAGGCCCGTGCAGGGCGGCAGACCGGAGACCTGCACGTTGTAAGTAAAGCGCTGGCGCGGCGCGACGTCGGGCGCGTTGGAGCTGTCAGAACGCCAGAAGGGAGATGCGTCGGCATGCGCTGCACCGCCGGTGGTGACCTCCATGTCGTCGCCATTGTCTACCACTACGGGAAGATAAAGGCCCTGGGATCGCAGGACGATTTCCCGGGAAGGGTTCCCGTACACGTTTCCACCTGCCGTTGCTGCCGAGTTGCCGCCACTGCTGCTGCCCAAGCCAGCGCCACCATAAGGACTTGACGTTGGCCACAGAACGGAGACGACCATGTTCATGGCCTGCGGCGTGGGCGCTGCATTGCTGCGGCTAGACGGCGAGGGCGGAGGTGATGCCACGACCCGAGGGTGCACACTGGTGATTCGCGGTGCGACTGGTGTGCTGGGCTCCTGAATCTTAATTCAGAGGACAAGGACAGAGGGCCACTTATTCCTTCACAGTGACATGAAACAGAGTAGTCGTCAAAGGCGGGACAGCTCTAAAACAGGAGAAACTATCCGACGCACCATGGACTTCGCCAAGCAGGACAAGAGTCGTACGGAATGTAAGCAACAAGGGAAGCAGGGAGTAACAGGGAAGCACAGGGAGCAACAACTAAAGAGGGCTAACCAAGGCACATTCACCGAAGTTATTCACGTTTAAGCCCTCTCCGCGGGGCAAAAGCCAAGGCACTGGGGATTAAGCAAAGGAGACGCAAACCTAGAAACTACCCAAACGAGAGCGCCAGTGGCCAAACACCGAATACGAACGCCAATGCAGGTGCAGGGCAGACAGGAAGAATGGCAGGAAGGGCGCTGCTCAGTGCGCATCACGCAGCACACGTATGGCGACCTAGGCAACCCGGAAACGCCCATCCCCTATTATAACAGCTGCACTTACACACACAACACAGCTTGCATTATCATCACACCGCGCACCTGCTGCAATATCCAGGGATGACACGTCGCCACCAGTAGCCGCGGCTCACTTCGCGTCTCGTCGCCGAAGCTGCACAGTACAGGGGAAGGTGGGCTGTTGAAGCACAATGGCGACTTCCCAGGAAAAGCAGAGAGCTCCATCTGGCGAGAACCGCAGGAATTGTCATTTACAACCCAAACCCATAACGACTTCCCCAACTGTCCTGTGTTGTCCAAGCCGGGCTCCTTCCCCCTTCCCCCTTCTCCCTCCTCCATCCCAGGCATCTGAAACTACCTAGACGTCTGGATCCGCAACGTGTCGATCTGGTCCTACTGTTCTGAGACCGGCTGACTTTAATATTACCAAGTGGCACGGAAAGCCACAGCCCAACCCCCTGGGAACGTCACCCCCTGGGAACGTCTTTCCGGCAGGCAGGCAGGCAGGCAGGCACTGACCTGGCGGCAGACCTAGATACCGGCTGCAATGATAACGTTTCAGCACGGCCCAGATACGACACCGCAGCTTCGGTAGTGCTGTCTTGATGCAACTGAATTTTTCCCATGTCGTTCTCCTCTTGCTCGTTCCCGTCTAGACCCAATGCCCGGATGAGTGCGCCAATGCCCACGTCTAGCGTGGCCTCCTTGGTAATGTCTCCCTCATTGCCGAAATCACTCTCGTTGCATGCCGTGCTGGCGTCTACTGCCAGTTCGATGCAGCCGCGGCGCACATAGAGCTCCCTCATCTTAAGGCCTGCATCTGCAAGCTGGAGTGCTATGCGTTCCTTGAAACCCTCCCGTAGTTGTTCCGGGTCGGCGTTCCCAATCTTGAGGTAGATGGTATAATGCCGGCCAGGCAGGGGATTGTATGGTACATGACCACCGATTGGGGGAGTGGATGCATTCCTGCGTGACCCAACTGCGGGTTCCTCGTGGTTTGGAGTTAAGCGACGGGCGAGGCTAGTCGCCTGGCGATCGTCCTGGACAAGAGCCGGGTTCCTCCCGAATGTATGGCTCTGACGAGTCATAGAACTGCTCCCGGACGGCAGATCATCTGCCTTGGCCCCGGGAACAAGCTCCGGATACAACAGTTGCTGTTTCTTGGACAAGCAGCGCCGCCGGTACAATTGGAAGAATACCAGCCAGCATGTTGATGATAGACATGCCATTATCCTCCATGGCAACTGGATCTCCGTCTCGGGGGTCCATTCCTTGTAGCGCAGACATAGCGTGACCGCTGACGCCAAGCTAAAGACGCCGTACACCAGCTCGACCGTGGGCGTGGTGGGGAACATGGCATTGAATCCTATGTCCATGAACGGCCAAGTCTTCATTGCCCAAAGTGCAAGCCCATCTGGACGCTGCGGCGCTACAAGGGATAAAACCACCAAGGTGGCTGGTCCCAGGCCCCGGTGCACAGCAGCCAGCACCGGCGCAACCGACTCATACACGTGCATAGGTAGGAAGAGTACGCAGCAAATACGAGGTAGTAAGAAGTAAGTCTCCAAAGTCGCCTGCACCAGCCAAGGAACCCAACCGCAAACCATACCAATGTCACAGGTATGTCAACAAGCCAGGCTATAAACAAGTTAGTCTACATCAAGTGCTAAGCTTAGCAATCCAACTATTCACTGACAACGAGCACGCTTATTGCAAATGTACCCACCCATTTCCCCTGGACGTTGAGAAACAATAGATCCCGCCAGAAAGCCCATGGGTGTGCGAGTATCGCCCAAAGGCGATGCAGGATATTTCCATCGCATGGGTAAAGTCTTGCCAACAAGGAATCGCCGGGCAACAGGTGGCTTTCACCAGCACAAAACGGCTTTAGCAATTGATGGGCACCAAGCACGATAAAGTAAGTGATGAGTAACAATTTCCATAAGTCGCTATGCTGCCTTGCGGCCCACGCTGTCGAGCTGTCGCCAAGACAGCGCCATACATGTGAAAGTACCCGCATCCCTCACGTAACGATCTCTAACATGGGTTAAAATGACCAATATGTCGACGCTGATGCTGCGACGTTGATGCTGTCGACGTCAAACGTCCTATAGAGGTACCGCGCTTCTAATTCATCCATAGATAGACGTACCACAGACATTATTGCATTCTTCATGTTTATGCATATGTGTGAGTAACGTCAAGGGCAGTTTGCTAGATACAGTTTAGGTGCCGTACGCTAAGCCCTTCAACGGTCGCCGGTATATCCTTCCGTACTCATCAATGTGGGGCGTGGTGGCGGCTACAGGTACGTCCATGTCTTTGGCTCCGCTGCCTGACAGCCAGTACGGCTCTAGCTGGACCGGGAAGTCTCCGTCACAACGCCCATCGCTGTATTTGGGAGCAGTGGGTGATGCCGCCTCACTAGCGCCCAGTCTGGCGTGCAGTCCCGAGCGCTCTCATGGCTGAGACTCGATGCAATGCTGTGCCCGAGATATCGGCGGGATGTGGGCGGGGCCTGGCACACTGAGGTCCTCGGGATCTGTACTTGTAGAGCCCCTCGAAACACTTGTGTACTTGTGCACTCAGCGCAGGACCGCAAATCAATGTGCGCTGCTTAAACTCAGAAATTGGGAACCAATCTCCCTTTCCGTCAGTGGCAACATGTGTCGGTTATCGGGCGCTATTGCCGTCCCTGCCATGCCCAGCAGCGAAAGAGCCAGAGCCTGTCCGTCTGTAACTGAGAATCGCATCACACCAGGGCCTGGAACGCTACACCGAACTGCTTTGCAGTGAGGTACGGGCACCTAGGGCTTTGGCAGCTCGGCTCGAAATGGCTGGTTACCCGGAAGATGATGTTGTCATAACTTGCATACCGACCACAACATTCCGATTTTGACCATCTTCCATAACCGGCATCGACGTGTTGCAGCCGAGTAGCTTGCAGGGCTACGCGGACGTGCATGCTCAGAAGCTGTGGGCCGCGTTTAAAGGCTGCAAGCTGAAGCCGGATATGTCTTTCCGCAAGTACATCGAGATGCTCAAGGACATCTGCAGCGAGCTGCGAAGGACGGAAGGCCATCGCGGATGGCTGCCACTGACGGCCGTCGGCTGATTTCGCCACTGACGGCCGTCGCAGATTCAAATGCAGCGGCTGCTGTGCTCGAAGGCTTGTGACCGAGCACAAGAAATTGGTTGCACTGTAGCACCCCGTCCAGGGCGCCATTCCGGCGAATCTGGGCGAGGTCGAGACCAACCTGATGGACCTTGAGGTGGAGATAGAGGCATCATCATTGGCCGAGGTCCAGCCCGCAGTCCTCTTTGCCGGCAAGAGCAATGCCGAGGGGGCCAGGTTCACGGGCGGCATCGATAACGAGAATGACAGCTTCAGCGGCAGGTGCTACAACTGCAAGGACACGGCCACCAAGTGGCCAACTGCATCATATGCCCAAGAAGTGCTGCGGCAATTGCAGGAAGCTGGGTCACACCATTAAGGAGTGCCACAGGGTGGGCCGGGACGGTGGCGGGGGTGGAAACACCTATCAGCTATCAATATTCATGCTGGAGCTATGCGACCAGCCAGAGTTGACAGCGGTGGCGTTGGAGCGGGAACACTCAACACAGGTGGATGCTGTGGAGCTGGGCGGGTTGCAGGTGGAGTCTGTGGGGCATAAGCTCGCCCCAGCACTTGTCGAGAAGCCGGCGGTGGAACAGGACAGCGAGGAGACCTGCCTACCACATCACACAAGATGCACGGACTCTTTATGACTGTAAGCCGTGTGAGCTGTGATCGTGTTGAAGTGTGGTGGGGCCCGTTGTGGATGACCTGGTGGTCACAACGGAGGACCTGGGTATCTTGAACCAGTTGAAGGCGAAGTTAAAGTCTACAGGACCTGGGGCAGGCCACATATTTCTGGGTTTTGAGATTGAGTGCAACTGCTCGGAGTGCATGATGGATGTGTCACAGAAGCGGTTTTCCATAGAGCTTGTGGGGAGGTACAGGAGGAAGTAAGGGATGGCTGATGCAAACCTACACTTGGTGCCTATGTTGCAAGGCAGGATGCTGCACATGGCCGGGAAGCCATACAGCAAAACTGGCAACAGTGAGTTGGTGGGCTATATCTGTCGGTGGGCATGAGGCCTGGTATTGCGTACTCCGTGTGGGTGGTTGCATGTCACATATCCAAGCCCATGGTCGAGCACTGGCATGCTGTGAAGGGTGTTGTGCACTATATGGCGGGTATAACTGGTATGGGTATTGTTTATTATCGGAAAGCCCGGTCGGTATGGGAATCCTTCATGGCTACTGTGACTATGCGAGCTGTGACTATGCGAGCTGTGTTGATTCCTGGCGGTCTACCACCACTTATGTGTTCCTGAATGCGAGTGGCGCGCTGAGCTGTCCAGCCGTCTGCAAAGATCCTGTGCTGCGGGCAGGCGTTTCTTCTGTCGTTTTGGCCGCCTGAAGGCGTTTTTCGGGCTGTGGGTGTGGTACCACACCCGCAGGACCTCTGCTCCGGGGCGCAGATGCAGCATTCTTCGTTCTACGTAATGAAGCCATAATTGGGCAGCAATGGATTACAGAAACATTGCGATAGTATGCGCGTTGCAGTTGTTTCAAAAAGCGTTGCAGCACCGGCACTGCAAAACGATACATTTGTAACCTGCGCTGTGAGAATTCAGCACCGTTCATCCGTTGTTGGAAGCCACATAATCCGGGTGCCAAAATCATATTGATGGGGTGTTACACTGTGCGCGGCTCGTCCCGAGAAAGGACGAGCACCGGGGCCCCTGACCGGGCCGAAACACAGCGCAGGGGCGGGCACGCGGCTCCACCTCCGTCTGTTCCTCCGCGCGCGCCTCATTCGCTCACTCGCGCCAGCCGGGGCGCTTCCCAGCCCTGACTAGGCAACACAGCGGCGCAGAAGACTGTGAAGACTGTGAACCGAACTAAGCGAGAGTCGCGTGTTGTCTGGCCACCTGGTCCGTGGGTCGCAGCATGGATCGCAGTAAAAGGAGACAGCTATCGTAATTCTTGTACTCATCTATTAACTGTAATCAACAATCTTTTACACAGATTTCATGTCCACGTCGCGCAAAGTGGTTTTTCAGGTGATAATTCAGTTGGCAGCTTGCTACCTGTCATGTTATGAAGCATAGCTAGAAAATCACAAGCTTTCACTCTAAGGCACAAATGATCCAGCAGGTGGACGAACCGGAAGCTGACGCAAACAGGACTGCGCAAAAGTTGAGCTTGGAGTGGGCTCGCCACACGTCAGACATATGACAAACTATTCATTGCAATCCTGTTAAAAACCAGACCAAGCCGTGATTTGGAAGCAGGGAGTGCTTCCATCAAACAACTTAAGCGTTTCCTCTGCAAGCTTGCAACTGTACGGTGATAGCTTCTTTCGTAATCGCGTAGTATACCCATTTGGGTAGGAATAACCTGCTTTGTCGCTTTTCAAAGCCAAGCTAAGGCGTACTTACACAGTCTTTGCCTTAGCAGCCGCGACCGTGGGCAACCGCAGCCTTAACAGTTGGAACGCGACGAGCATGGTCTGCCCGTGTCGATTTGTACTTGTGGGCATAAGCGCTGTGTTGGCAGTAATTGCTCTGACGGTATGCCATAGAGAACCACAGGACGTAAGGCGCGAGGTGCGTGCTTTCGTATAATGCACCTGCTCTCAGAGCTTCTCAGGTTGCAACCTTTGGTCGTCTTTTTGTCTGTAGGTAAAGAGTACATGGACCTGGCGCGACGGTTTGGCTTTCCTCCGAGACGCTTTCAGTAAGCGATATGTCGGGCACGATTCTTGGGATGAGAGACCATAGACCTCACAGTCTTATCGTGCACAGAAAACTGTTGCTTGGACCCGATTGCCTCTCGTTTCGCGGCATAGGATGCTAAACTGTGCTCTTGTGCACGTACGAAGCTAGGGCCTCTCACCTTGTTGTCCCGAACCTCTGTCGCCACTTCCCTTGCCTGCGCTTGCATGCAGCGGGACGGTACATCTACACTGAAATAACCAAGTACAGAACTCAGCTCAGCAAACGAGCATAAGCTGTCCGGGTGGAGCTGGCACCTGCACACGACCGAGGGAGGCTCGGCAGACCGCGGCATCTGCATGCGCCACAGCACGGCGGCTATTGCAGCCTCTTAAATTCAGTTAGGGAATGCATCATCGCAGGATGGCACGCCTATCCAGGCAAAAGCACTGATTGAAAGGATAGTAAAGTATATGTTAGTATCGGTTATCTGGACGACACGACACCGCACCGCAAAGGCTGTATTGTGTACCCTTCTTGCGCGTGAATGGGGGGACCTGGCGAAGGATGCTCTGAGGTGACACCCTGCATGAGGCCCATCTTGGGAAGTGGAAAGCGTTGGGCCTGCACACAGAAAGCCCCAGCCTGCCGCTGGCTTTCTTCTGGCCAAAGAGGCCTCATCTCATCGTTTGCTGTACATAGACCGGACCCTAGTGCGCGGACAAACAGGCATAGATCCGCAAACTCCCACGCATAAATCTACACACCCACACGCCGTCATGGAGTAGGCGGCCTTTCACGGCCGTCAAGGAGTAGGCGGGTGAGGAATGACGTGGTTGTGTCGTGTCAGATATAAAGCGGCTTAACTATTTGCATCATGGAGTGTTGGAGACTTCGGAGTGAGTAAGGGTGCATTTCCAGTGCGGATTAAGGCCAGGGATTAGCGCACGGAAGTCCTTGGTACGAGCTTACCACATAGTTTTGTTCCATAAGGGAACCAAAGGTTGAAAAGGCGAGGTAAGTTTGCCAACAACTTAGCCGTTTGAGCAAGTATCGATGGAGGACAGAGGGTTAATCCCTGGCCTTAATCCGCACTGGAAATACACCCTAAAGGTAGCAGTGCTGCCCCATGAATTGTTGCGCCGTATTGGTTTCAGTTTGAGTTGTAGGTGTGTTTGTGGTTGTGGTTTTACGAGTGATTATTCTCTTAAGGAATTGCGCAGCGCACATCGCAGATTAACCCTAGGGCAGCAGAGGACTTTGCTGCCCTCCTTTGACACCTGCGCAAACGGCAAGTTGTTGGCAAACCTCCCAGCTATGCAGCGAATGCACCACCTGGTGCTCGCCCTAAATATAAGAGATTTATAACTGTGGTTGCTTGTTTTGAGCGTGAGAGCATTTCGAATGGCCGTATGCATGTCGGCGGTACGCTCATAAACAAAGGACCATTCAATAGGAGGACTGTTACACCTACATTAATGATTCGTGCAGAAATAGTAGGAAGTACGTTGGAATGATCGGTGGAGGCTGAGGATTATGGCATGCCCTGCTTGTACTGCAAGTTCACTGCGAACTTACACAGTTGCCGTTTCGTATCAATACATGCGAGAGAGGAGGGAGTTCTGGTGACGGCAACTGACTGCTGATTTTGGATGACCGTTGATTTCCTTTTGACATGTTGGCACTCGTAGCTTGCCTGGTTACTCGTTTCTCTCTCTGCAAGCCAAAAAGCTTGCAGGTAATATTCCTGGCATAGTTACATGGAAGGGCCTTTCCCGGTCTAAACCAGCTCTCAGATGGTCTGATGGGGGCTGCCACGGGTGATCTGTACGGCTGCCCGGTAGCTCGAATGCACTCACACGCAGTGAACATGCATGCATCTCCGTACGTATGTATAATTATGTCCGCATGTCGTGATTATGACTCTGCAAGTATTAGGTGTGCCTGAGGGAAAAAGCACAAGTGGGCTGCGGCGTTGCTTTTGGCGATGCAAAAAAACAAAAGTCGCCGTACCTCCTCTCCCTCCTCTGAAAAGCATCAGCATGCAGGCAGCAGGCCTCCCTCGTTGAGACCCCTGAGCCCTGAGCCCTGAGGAACCTGCCGACAGAAACTGAAAGACGTAACATCGGACTGACAGAGCCACGGAATGCTCTCCGGATAGGCGTCCTGGCGTCCTTTTTCCCGCCGGGTAGTGCTGCGCGGCTCTGCCAGAGACTAACTACCAAAGGGCTGACCCCCGACACCACCAAAGGGACTCATCTACGGAGGGACTCATCTACATGCTCTCGCCTAGCTGGTTGCACCTCTGGGACCAACAGCTCTGGCCATAACGGTTATGACGATGCCGATCTGTGCTACCTGTTTCGACGATGGCGGCGATGACTGCAACACACACCAAAATACCGTGACGTGCTCTCGTAGCAGCCGCCGCCACCACCGCCTCCGCTGCTTCAAAACTACCTTGCACCTCGTCGCTTTAACCAGCGATTTTTCTTTCTCCACCATCCCTTTCGTACGTTTCTGCAATTGTTTTCCCTTTAAGCCTCTTCAGTGTACACAGCCCACAAGACGGTACCTACCGACAACAACGATGCTGCCCGCACCTGCTACTAGCTTCTAGGAATTTGTCGGCCCCACCTCCTCGTCTCTGCGTGCCTAAAACCTTTCCGTGGCTGCCAAGCCGCTACCGACCACAACCTGTTGTCCTGACCTCACGGGTCAGCACCTCCGCGCTCAGCACCGCGCCTGAACTTCTTCCTGACAGCACGGAGTCGGCACACACGTGTTTCCACGCACACAACTACACATCACAGACGCATGTAGGGTTCCACACCCATCTGGATGTGTTGACCTACCGTAACACAGGCACACACATCCCTTCCCACCCCTCTCCACATTGCCCTGGGGTTCCCCCGCCACCCCCCCCACGACATCACACAGACAGACAGACAGACAGACAGACAGGCAGAGACGCCAACCAGCAGGCCACACGTCCAGCAAGCCCCTCTGCCGGCCCGCACCCGGGGGATCCAAACTTGCAGGAGCGGGTGGAGCACGTGGGTGGCCGTACGAGCACATGACTGCGCTGACAGCTCCTGGCCGCAACCAGGGCGCGGAGCAGAGCCAGGGCACTTGTGGAGGGCGCTCATTGCGCTCATCATCCTCGGCCTTCCGGTCGCGCACACCTGGGGAGGTGGAGGAGGAGGTGGAGGAGGAGGTAACGCAATACCAAAGACGGGCAACAACAGGCACCACGGGAAATGAAGGGGTTGGATCGACGGAATGGGGTGAGGTGAGGTGGAGTCCCCGGGTGGCGGGCGGCGGCGGTGATGGCGATGGTGGTGGTGACCTTGAGAGGCAAGGTATATAACCATTAGCCGAAGACTGAGTTGGACGGGAGGCGAGGAGGAAAGGGGAAAGCGGAGGCGACAAGGCAGAGGGGACACACAAGTAGGCGGGAGAACAGGAAGCTGTCACGACACCCGACGCGGCGGGCCCTCACGCAGCAGCCCACCCACCTAGCGCACAGCACCACTCCGGAGGGGTAGCGGTAGAAGACCTGGGTGGTCAGCGGCCGCTGACATCCGGGACACAGACTCTCGTCAGTCAGCACCACACGGCTAGCCTGCGGGCGGGTCAGGAAAAAAAAAACCGGAAACGGAGAGGCGGATAGGTAGGTTAGGTAGGTAGGTAGGGTAGGTAGATAAATAGCGAGCGCGCGAGAGAGCGAGAGACGTTGCGGCCTCTGTTCTGTTCTGTTGTGTTTTATTCTGGCCCCCCCCCTCCCCCCCTTCTCCCCCCCACCTGTAAATGGGCCACCTCCGCTCTCAGTGCCAGGTTCTGGGCCCTGTGGAGGGCCCGAAGAATCTGAACATACAGACAGACATACGGACATAAATCACAGGCATAAACACAGGCATAAACACACATTGCATGCATAGACGTACATATATACACATAAAGAGAGGGGAGGAGATTTAACATCATCGAGACAATCTCACTGGGGGCGACGATGTTTCCACAGTGGTGGTGATGGTGGTGGTGGTGGTGGTGGTGGTGACGGTGCTCGCGGGTTGGGTGGGGTGACGGATGTACTTCTTGGGGTAATGGAGCTTCCCAAATCCGGTGGTTGGCGGGCGGGGGGTTATGCCGGGGCGGCCAGGGGCTGGCGGACTAATGTTGCGATAAGAACCCCCTCATACACACACATAGTCATTGCCAGAAGGGGTGGTATTGGAGTTCAAGGATTGATTGGTGAGTGGTTGGAAGCATGCACGGCTAGATGTCCAGCCAGACGTGTACCCGTCACAAACAGCAAGCAACCAGGAATTCGCATGGCGAAGTATAAGCATTGGATGGGTCTGGCGGCGGAGCAAGTGGGCAGGAGGAGATGCTCCCGCATATCACAATGTTTATTCCGCGTTCAGCGAATCGCAAGCTTATGCAGTTCAGGCTTTGCTGTTGGGCACTGGCGGCTAACAGAGCGCGCAAGGGACGGTGTTATATACCTAGGGAGGAGCGGGTATGCCCCTGCTAAGGCACTGATAGCCACATCGAGGATGAGAAACACATTTTGCTGGACTGTCAGGTGTACGCCAAATTCAGATCTGGTATGGATTTCCCACGCTCCGAGCATATGAAGGACGCTATGAAGTGGGAACCTGAAGTGGGAACCTGTCTGGCAAGGATGCTGGAACGTATATGGTCCCACCACAACCCTACATCGCTCCCTTTGGTCGTTTTAGTCTCCTTTATCACTTGCTTTGCCTGAAGTGCTAGGATGGTGCTTACAGGCGAACTGGCAGCCCTTGAGCAGCCCTCGGCTCGTATTAGGGCGGTTTGCAGGTACGGGGTACGCACCCCCACGACCACGTAAAACACACACCAGCACACACAGCACCTTCCTTTACCGAGAGCTACTTCATCGCCGCCGCCGCCGCTTTACTTTTTCCTGCTCCCTCCGACATCTTCTTCCCTCTCCTCTACTTACTTCTCTCCCACCAAAGTTCGGACCGCGGCGTGCCGCAGAGGTATATGTCCTACATGTTGCATTTGCAGTTGTTGGCCTCGCATGCCCCCGCACATCTTCCGAACAACAACACCTTTTACTAACTCCCGCTGGTGCTGCGCCGCCGACATCTTTTGTCCTTTTGTCCCTTCGTTCATATCCGGTCATTCAACCTTGAACTGCTCTTTCACGCGGGATGGGTTCGTCGTGCTGCTCCCTCGGGGGGGTGAGGTGGGGTGGGGTGGGGGCACTTACCCTGTGCCTGTCGTCGTCATCTCACCGCATGCGCTGTGGCAGCAGAACTACCCTCTGCTCTGTCCTCCAGATTACTCAGGACAGGAACATTTAGGTCTTTAGGTTGTACCTACCTAATTGGGACTCGTCTAGGTGCCGTCGTTGTCTGTGTAGTCAGTTCTAGCCGCCCACCACCACCACCACCACCCAGTCGCCCTTCGCCGCTACAACACCTCCGCGCTTAGTCCTACGAGCCCTAGACATCACTCTTCTCATGAAGAATCTACTTGATAACTCCCACAAGCGCTACGTCTACAGTTTCGTTGGAACACATTCCACCTCACGTCGCTGGTGACTATTCGGAGCTGTCGCGTCGGTGTGTATATGTAAAGTTATTCTTCTCCAATGAACAACCACCATAATCGCCATCTCCCCCCCATCGCGGCCCCGGCGATGTCGTCATACAACACATATATGCACTTACTAATACACACACAATCACACATACACACACACACACACTCAACACACACACGCATGCAGAGGCCCCTCTAGCGCCCCTCTCCCCTCCGCGGGAGAGAGCTCTTACGCGGTCTTTCCGCTGGGGCTGGGCAGCAGCCCCTGGCGAGTGCCAGGCCCGGTCGGATACTTAAAACGTTCAAAACACACACACGCACACACACACACACGCACGCACGTGTGAAATTGTTCCGCTTTGGGTCCTGACAAGCGCAGTGATCCCTTCCCACGCACATACAGACCTACATGCATACCCACATACCCACCTACATGCCCACCCCCTGCCCCACCTGGCCCTGCCGCTTACGATGCTGCACAGACCCCACCATACGACTCAGAGTCCCCTGGGCCAGGTGGAGCGGCATGTCGTCATTCAGCGCCTCCAGAACCTGAAGCGACATAGCGGGTGGGGAGGGGGGCGCGTTGTTTATATGTACATACATACATATATGAATTTATACATACAGGGATATATACAAATATACATATAATACAAACATATGTACATACATACACTCCATGTATACTTCACCCCTCTACCTCCTACCCGCCCACCCACTCCCCACCCACCCACTCCCCTACCTGCAAAGGTGCCAGTGCCGCCCCCTCCGCAGCCAGCACTCGGCAGGCGGCCCCGTAGTCCGGTTCACGCCCCCCTCCGGGCCTGTGTGTGTTATGTAGGGGGGGGGCCCGGACACCATGTGTGTGCGTGTGTGCGTGTGTATGTGTGTGTGCGGTCCTCGTCCGTCCGTATGTCGATCTGTGCAACGGTCTGTAGCAACCCTGCAAAGAGAAGGTTACTATCCGAGGCAGACCGCAATACGTCATACACACCAAATTCTCCCCCCCCCTTCGCGATGGAGAACCGCCCCTCCTCCTTTCCCCTCCTACCCCGCCTGAGGCCCTTGGGAGCTGGACGAAGCTAAGGGCTACACCGCCCCTCCTTCCTTCCCCCGATGGCCCCCATTGGCAGCAGCTTCACTCCTTCGTGGTTCGTCTCTCCCCCCTGGCCCGTCGTCATCCCGGCATCCACCGCAGTTGTCTCTTTTCAACTTGGTCATATTTATTCCCTATACACACACAACACACAACACACAATACAAAACACAAAACACACGACACACGATACACACATACATATGCGCCCCTTCGCGGCCCCCCCCCCTTCTTTCCACCACCCACCTGAGCAGCAAGTCCAGCAGCGCCAACCAGCCCTCCTGGCCACACCGCGACCGGCAGTAGCAAATGGCGCCGTCCACATCCGCGAGCTGTAGCGCCAACACCGCCAGCGCCGCGGGGTGGTCGCCCTGGCGGCAGTGCAGCTGCACGCGCTCGCGCAGCAGGAGATCGGACAGGCAGCCGCCGCCGCCGCCGCCGCCGGCTGCAGCTGTGGTGGTTGTGGTAGCGGTGGTAGTGGCAGTAGCGGAGGCGGCGGCGCCGTTGGCGATGGCCTGTACGACAGCGACAGAAGCCGGAGATGCATGCTGATGGAGTAGTGTTGCGGGAGTTCGTTGTGGTGAGGGTGAAGGTGTAAGGATGAGGGTGCGGGTGCAGGCGCGGGCGGGAAGGTACGGGGTACGACAAACCACTGACGACGATTGAAGCAGGTACCCGAGATAGGGGAAAAGCGGGAAAGGGGGACTACACACGCAACGCCACTGAAATTACTACAGAATCCAGATCCAAAGAAAGCGCCGTACGAGTCCAAGCCAAAGGTGGATACGGAGGACTTGAGAGGTAACGGTTGGGCACATAGCACATACATTGGCCAGCTGGCTTCATTGCTAGGTACGTTTCACGACAACTGCACAGTGACGAGTTCCTTGCTGCGCTGTGACATGGGGGAGGGGGGGGAAAGACGAACCACGAACGAGTGAAGCTGCTGCCACGGACATGGGGGGGGGGGAGGGTTTAGACGGGGAGGGTTGGGAAACCAAAGCCAGGCCGCGTGTAACACATGATAAGGCCCCCGGGGGGGGTGGGGGTGTTTCAGAGGCCGCAAGTGCATGTGGAGCCTCCTTCAAACATCAAACCTCGGCCGTACGGCCTAGGGGCCCACCCTGCCACCGCTCCTCACCTGCAGCACGATCGCCGCGTCGTACAGCTTCGAGCAGTACAAATGGTGTTGCAGTACAGCTCTCAAACCCATCAACGTCCCCATGCCGGCGCCGTCGCCGCTTCGGGAGAGCGCCCGCAGCAGCGACAGGCTATCCCCCAGTCCGCCGGCGGCGGCGGCGGCGGCGGCGGTAGGAAAGCTGATCCCGTCCACGCCGCCAGGGGCAGCACCACCACCGCCAGCACCGGCGGCGGTGGCGGCATCCAGATCCAGGTACTGCTCTAGATCTGGATTCAAACCCGCCGCAAGCCTGGCTGCCCGAATCGCCAATAGCAGCTGTCGGGTCACCGCCGCCGCCGGCAACAGCCCCAACGTGCCCAGCCAGGACAGCTCCGCCGTACTGACGGACGAAGCGGCCGTAGCTGCAGCAGCGGCGGCGCCTGTACCGCCCCCGCCGCCGCCGCCGCCAGAAGCGAAACAGACGGCTACGCCGCCGCTGCCGTACGGCACAATGGCAGCGCCTCCGCCTCCGCCGCCTCCGCCGCCGCGGTCAGCTCCCGCTAATACCTGCCGAGATGACGTCACGTGGTGATGTTGCTGTGAGCGTGGATGCGCTTGCGTAGCGGTTCCTTGCGCACACAGCGCACCGGCCTGTCCGGACTGTAGTACGACACTCAGCCGACGTCCCACCGCGGCGGTCGACAGCGGCGGCGGCGAGCAGGCGTGTGCCGCCGCTGCCGCGGCGGCGGCGGCAACGCCGTCGTGGCCGCCGGACGGATGACGCGGCACCGCCGCCATCACCCCCGCTGCCGGCAGCGGCGGCGGCAGCGGCGGCGGCAGCTCAGCTGGCGGCTCCTCTTCCAAAGGCAACGACCTCAAATCTTCAGGCACCGCTGACGCGGATGAAAAGGCGCTGGATGTCTGCGGCGGCGGCGCCGCCGCTCTGTTGCTGTCGTTCTGCTGCTGCTGCGTCGACGCCGTTACTTCCCCATGCTGCTCCTGCTGCTGCTGCTGTTCCCGACGCGGCGGCTGTAGCTGCGGCTGCTGGGGCCAAGAGTGCAGAAGGCCGATGCATTCCACAAGCTCCAAAGCGAGCTCCGTATGAAGAGCCGGATCTAAGTGCCAGGTGATAGGCGCAGCCTCCGCCGCCGCCGGCCCCACCACCGCCTCCTCCGCCGCCGCCTCCTGTGGCGGCGGTCCTAGAAACCCTTCTTCCCCGGCCTGACCATCCTCACTTGCGGTCGCGGGCGGCAGTTCCGTCCGAAAAGATGACGATGGCGCGGCGGCGGCCGCGGCGGCGGCGGCGCTGCCGTACACGAGGTGGTGCATGTACTGCCATCGCACGCCGTCGTACCTTCCCTGGAGCAGCGACATGACGTCCGCGACCGGTAGCGGCCTGCTGCGAAGGACGTGAAGGGCCTGCGGCGGAGAGCGAGTGAGTCGGAGCGAGTGAGTGGGTGAATGAGTGAGCAAGTGAGTGAGTCGGAGTGAGTGAGCGCGCGAGTGAGTGAGTCGGAATGGGTGAGTCGGAGTGGGTGAGTGAGTCGGAGTGAGTGTGTTGTGTCGACATCTACGTGGGCCCATCCGGAGTGAATCCCCTTGTCGGATACATACATACATACGGGTGCGGGATTATGGCCCCGGTGCATACACCCTCAGCCAAAGAACCATATCCCTGCTTGGGCACACAAATGTGTACATGTATGTATGTATGTATGTATGTATGTATGTATGTATGTATGTATGTATGTATGTATGTATGTATGTATGTATGTATATGATGTGTGAAACAGGGGGGTGTATCTTCGCCCGTGGCAGCTACCCTGCGAAACCCTGCCTTCCCCGGTATTTCGGGGCACCCTCATCCAGTCACCCTAGTCAACTTCTCAGTGGATCGCTCAGGTTCCGCACCCACCACCAGCATCCAACGGAATCTGCCGGGTCGACAGCGGCGCAACTCCATTCCTGGTCGGCTCGCAGGTTAACTTTATCCCAGGTCACCACCGTCCATCAACTAGGGGCGCAATGCCTTCCACCATCGGAAGGACTTTTGACCCTAAGGGGTATCGATCCCGGGATCTCCCGGGGGCAATGGTCGCGCCTTACCAGTGGTGCCAAACCCTATGTATGTATGTATGTATGTATGTATGTATGTATGTATGTATGTATGTATGTATGTATGTATGTATGTATGTATGTATGTATGTATGTATGTATGTATGCGTATTTGCGATGTGTTTGCGATGTATGTGCGATGCATGTGTGTGTATGTATGTCAGGAGGGAGGTCATGCGCCGTCGAAACGGACGTGTTAGTAGCACTCGGCGCCTGTGGGCGGCCCCTCCACATCACCCCACAAGGCAATGCACCACCCCACAAGCCGCACCCATCCCGGGGCGGACTGCAGCAGCCAGGGTAACTTGGACAAACACAGTAGCGGCGGCGTCCGGAACGGAAGGGCCATAAGCGCCGCCGCTGCCGCTGCCGCCACCCTTGCCGCCGCCGCTGCCCAGGCTCCGTCGGCTCCGCCACTGCCGCCAGTGGCGGCGCTACCTAAGGCACGGTCGGAAGGTGGCGAAGACGCCGACGCGAGTGACGACGCGCTTGCCGTTACCGCCGCTGATGCGACTGTCGCTGCCGCCGCCGCCGCCGCCGCCGCCACCGCACCACTGGCGCTTGGCGACTCCTGCCGCCATAGGATCCACAACGGAAGAGTGACGCATGGCGGCAGCTCGTCCATGTACGGCATCCGTATGGCAAACACGTAATATGGTGCCGTACATGGACCCGCAGTGCTGCCGTTGGTCTACATACCCACGCCTCCTTCCCCTCCCCCTCCCTCACTTCCCTTCTCTTCCTCGTCCCGTAACATCATCGGCTTTGTGGCTGTCCAGCCACATGACCGCCCAGCCACACACACACACACACAGCCAGACAGCCAGCCAGACAGACAGACAGATTGAGCGTCAAAGAGAGAGAGAGAAGTCTCGCACGCTCATCTCAAACATGCCAAGAGTCTCTTCGACTCTCTTTCCATTTTTACGCAACTACTACCACTTTGAGAAAGGGGGCGAAGGTATCAGGAAACTAAAGACAAACCCCCTCCACACGCACACCGGGACGTGTGGTCCTCTGCCCGCTACGGGGGGGAAGTACAGGCTGCAAGTTCTTACAGTAAGAACTGAAGGAAAAGCAACTGCTGGCATCCAAAGTTGCCAGTGGGTACGCTGACACCGCCACTACCACCACCACGAGCACCAGGACCTGCAGAGCCACCACCATCACCATATCACCATATCACCATGTCACCTCCTCACCATATTACCACCACCATCACCATCACCACCACCATCACCATCACCATATCACCATATCACAACCCCCAGCCCCACCACCATCACGCCCCCTCCACCTCCTCACCGCTATCCCGCCGAGGGCCAGACTCTCCCACAGCTCCAGGGACTGGGGTATCTGTCCCCGCCCGGCTCGGAGAACCGCCAGCGCGTGAAACCTGACCACAGGAGTCCCGGGGGCAGCAGTAGCGGCAGCAGCCGCAGTAGTAGCAGTAGCAGACAACGATAACAACAGCGTGCATGCATGCATGCATGCATGCCTGTCTGTCTGTCCCTGTCTGTCTGTCTGTCTGTCTGTCTGTATGTATGTATGTATGTATGTACGTACGTACGTGTCAGAGAGGCAACCTGGAAGAACGCACCTGCCCGCCCCTTCAAGGGCCGCCACCAGTGCCGTATCACGGGGCGATACACATGCCTGCGGACCCCTCGCCGCCGCCATCACCGCCGCCGCCCCCAAGCCGCCACCGGTAACGCCTGCTTCCCCTTCAACCCCGCCTCCTTCGCCGCCGCCGCCGCTGCGCGCTTCTAGAAAGGCCTCCAGTACGGCAGTTTCCCCGGCATCCACCAGCAGATGCACCAGCAGCGTGTCGATGCCCTCCAGACAAACCACTCCGGGCCGCCCTCGGTTCTGAGGAGGACCCGGATGTGGTGTGTGTGTGTGAGGGGGGCAGCACACCACATCAGGTGGTGGTGGTGGGGCAGCACGTGTGGCCATAACCGCCGCCCAGTGATGGCAGTTGAAGTGACACATTAGGGGCGAGGTACGGCAGGCAATGGGTACGGACGTGGGCACATTCTTTATGCCTTCGCTTGGATTCCTGTTAAGGATACTTTCATTCGCACAGATGCGGGTTTTAGTGGGAGGCTCTGCTTCGCTTTCTTTTTGCGTGTGTGTGTTTTGTGTGCATGTGTATGTGTGTTTTACAATATATGTATGTATGTATGTGTGCGTGCGTGGACGAGGGGGGAGAAACAAGTCTCGCGGGGGCTATACAAGTGGGCCGTCAGTGTCAACGCAGGTTTGAAGCAACTAACCAACCGACCTACTAACTACCTAACTACCCAAATAACAAACTGACTCACTCGCAGCAGGTACGACACGATGTGACGTTTGGCATCTGCTGCCAGCGCCGCCACCTCCCCTCCGCCTTCACCTCCGCCACCGCCACCGCTGAGGCCGGCGCCGAAACCCGCCGCCGATACCGCCGGCGACAAGGTTCCGTCACCGGTTGCTACTACTGTTGTTGCTACTGCTCCAGTTGCCGCAACTCCTGTAACTACGCTCTGCTGCTGCTGTTGTTGTTGTTGTTGATGTTGATGATGATGATGTTGATGTTGATCATGATGATGATGATGTTGATGATGATGTTGGTTGCGAGGGGGGTACTGGGGGTGATGCTGATGGGGATGTTGGTGGTTGGGATGGGGGAGGGGCTGGCGGTAGCCATGTACGCTAGCGTCCGGTGACGTACCGCGCGGCAGTAGCAGCTGTGACGCCGCCGCCGTCGCGGCGCCAGCACCCGCGCTGCTGCGCAGCGACGCTGGCGGTGACGGCGACGGTCGCGGGCTGCTGGTGGTGGAGTTTCGGAGCTCCAGAAAGTCGTCGCAGATGCGGTCCAAACCTGCGTGAGAGCACGAACCAGCAACGTCGTCACCGGCAACGTCATCAACGGCAACGTTATCAAGAAAACAAGCCCAGCAGCAGCAACATCCGTAGCAGCAGCAGCAGCAGCAGCAGCAGCACCGGCAGTGCTGTGGGATGTACGACCTGTGCAGGAGGCGTATGCTCATACACACCGCTCCAAATCCCGCCCTCTTCACTACGTCATCCCGAGGTCGCCGCACTTCAAGAACGCCTCTTGGTCAGTTCTACGTCTGGTACACTCTTGCCCTGGCAGCAGCTTCACTCGCTCGTGGTTCGTCTTTCCCCCCCTCTCTCACCTAACACACACACACACACACACGCACACACTCACTCTGCTCACCAGCCCCCCGTAGATCCGAAACCCAATACCACCTCCCCCCCCCACTACCTCCCACCCCCCACCACCCCCACCCACTCTGTAGGGAGCCATGCAGGCCCCAGTAGCTCCTGTACGGCACCGCGGGCAGCCACCGGCGGCACCACCGGGGGAACAGCGGCAGCAGCTGCGCGGGCTGGAAGGTGCCCGGACCCACCTCCTCCAAAGCGCAAAGGGCGTCCTCGCAACGTAGCTCCTGCCGGGGGGGGGGCCCGTGGACGTTGAAGGAGGGGGAGGAGGAGGGAAAGACGAACCACACGCGATTGAAGCTGCTGCCAGGGCAAGATAGTAGCAACCGAAAGGACTGACCGAAAGGCGTCCGTGGCGACTGTGACGACTGTAACCTCGGGATGACGACTGTAACCTCGGGATGAAGAATTGACGTAGATGTAGGAAGTCCTACCTACCTAAGCCGCCAGAAATATTATAGCCAAACCGTAAACTAGTAGGTGTAGAAAAAAGTAGTGAAGGCGGCGAGAAAAATAGAGCTGACATAAAAGTGGCGTAAAGTTGCTGGCCAGGAGAGAAAGCTGCATTGCTGATACTGAAAGGCTGCCGGTATGCAAGTGCTCCTCCCAACCCCCCCAAAAAAACTAGAACGCGCGACTGACCCGACCGACCCAAACTAAACTATTCCGGCTAGCCTACCGACGCCAACGCGAAATACCAAAGAAGCTCGAACCACCTTTTGGACTCACCTGGCCAGGCAGCAGGAGCAGCGGGCAAAGGCACATGCAAGGCAGCGAGGTGGGAAGAGTTGTGAGCAGCGAAAGAAAAATACAAAAACGCATGCAAATGCTGCTGAAAAGGATTATTAAACTAGCTGACCGGGAAATCTGGAAACGAGAAAACCTAAAGAACCTATATGAAAACGGATGAAAACGCAGGAACTAAAAAACAATAGCAAAGGCGGCGCAGGACGACACAGAAGGTGTCGTACGAAATGACCTAATGACGCAATGGACGGGATGACGCATTGGACGGGATGCCGCATTGGACGGCGTGTACGCCGGCAGAATGCAAAGAAAGTAGAAAAAGGGAGGAGGAGGGGTACTCCTCCGAGTCGTGTCTCAAATGATGAAAGAAGGAAATGAGCAACTGGATTCCCCTTTTTGGCGATGTGTGTGTGTGTGTGTGTGTGGAGAGAACTTCCCGGCGATGACGCTGAAATGCCCGGGTGTGGATTTGGTTGAGTGGTTGAGCGGTGGAGCGCTTTGATGGTTAACTGTTCATGTTGAGATGCCGGATTTACAAAGGCCGGCCCTCTTTCAGCCCCTTTTTTCTCTTACCGTCCCTGAATCAAAGCCTTCCTGTACTCCAAAAACGTCCGACCGCCAGATAGGTAGGTAGGCAGGTAGTAACCAGACCCCCCAAGCCCTTACAGAGTGAAACAAAACCCCCGATCTCCCCCCTCCATCCAAAACACACAAATGCCCCAGGGGGCCCGGGCCCTCACGCCCGGCTTCCGCCGGAGCGGAGGCTCGTTTTCTTCCCGTTCCCCCCTCTTTTCCCCCCCCCCTTTTCCTTGCCTCTCCACCCCCCTAGCCCCCTCCGCTGCATCCACCTGCCCGCCTACCCACCTGCAGCAGTAGCAGCCCCGCCTGCGCCAGCGCCGTGTCCGCCCAGCCCTCCCTGGCTTGTCGGCAGCTGCGGATGAGCGCCAGCGCGGCGTCAAAGCGCTTTCTCTTTAGCAGCTCGCGAGCCTTGGCGGGCGGTGTACGGGGCCGGGTGCGGGTTGGAGCGGGTTGGGGTAGGGGTTGGGCGCGGTGCGGGGCGGGGCGGTGCGGCAGGTGGGTAGGGTGGTGTGGTGTGGTGGGGTGGTGTGGTGTGGTGGGGTGGTGTGGTGTGGTGGGGTGGTGTGTAGTGTGGTGGGGTGGTGTGTAGTGGGGTGGGGTGGGGTGGGGTGTAGAGTGCTGGGGGTTGAAAGCAGAAGCAGTACATGAATGTACGATGGTGGTGTAGGTCGTGCATGTGGTGTCTGAAAAGAGACAGGAAAAAAATTATAGGGAGGAGTGAAGACAAGTGAAATCGCAACAGCGCTGCGCACCGCAAACGACCTCGCTGCCGCGCCGGCGCCGGCGCCGTCACAGCGCTGTAGCAGCAGCAGCAACAGCAGACGCGGCACGCGGCCGCGGCCGCCTAACCCACTGGCTGACTGCTTAGGGGCCCTACCTAGGTTACCAGGTTCACTGACCCAATAAGGGTTCTCTGATCCAATAGGTACCCCCTCCCCCCCCTTTCATCGGCGCGCTGTCCACAAGCCCACCTGCAGATCTGGCGCCACAGGCTGTAGCAACATGACGACGCCGGAGGTGGCTACAGCCACGCCGCCACCGCCGCCGGCGTCCTCCGCCACGGGGATGCGCTTCGCAGCCGTGACCCAAGGGTCATCGTGGGCCCAAAAAATGCGCTGTACGAGTCGTGAGCTCGTTCTGTCGTACACGAGCACGCCCTCTGCGTCCGAAATCGCGATGAAGTAGTTACCGCTGGAGCAGAGGGCCAGAGGTGGCTCGGAAACCGATATGGGCTCGGATCCGACTACCGCCGCGCCGCTTCCGTCCGTGATAAAGATTAGAGAGTCTTGGAAGAGGAGCGCGCACCTGGCGGCGGCGGCGGCGGCGGCCGCCGCCGCTGGCTTGGTGGTGACGGCGCGGCCGCTAGCGACGGCGCCGTCGGCTGCCCCCCCCCGGCCGCCAGGCCACGGCGCAGAGGCCATACGCGGCTGACAGCAACCGTGCTCGGCGATTCGGAGCAGGCGGCCACCCGGCTGTAGCAGGTTGTACGATGTGGCATGCTGTACGAAGAGCCCGGAGCCAACCCAGGTCAGATCCTGCACCGCATCCTGTAGCGGAATCTGGGCCAGGAGATGGGCTGGCGGTTGATTTGCGGCAATGCCGACGGATGGAGCGATGGAGTAGACCAGCAGCTTGGCGACTGTAGCGATACTTTTGACTGCTACAGCCAGGCGCACCGGCCGCGGCGGGGGTATCGACGCGGCGGCCGGTACCGCTGGCCCTGTTGCCTTAGAGCCAGAGATTGTTGCTGTCGCACCGCTATCAGTATTTCTGGTATCGGAGTCGTCTGTTGGCATCCAGCGGGCCGCCGCCGCTGCGGCAGCGGGTGCCGGGTCCGCGGCAATGGCTACGGCCGTACGGACGCCTTGCAGGGCAAACACGTTCCACGTATCATATGCTGCGACAAACGCCGTGCCGTCCTCGCAGAGAATTGCGAGGCGGGATGCGGTTGGGAGGCAGGCCAGCGATAGCACGGGCTGCTTGGAGACGCGCTTCTCGGCCACCAGGCGTGTCGTGGCATGCAGGCCTGTGCCAGACGGGCCTGCGTCCAGCGCATACGAATGTTTTACGACAATTTCATGCTCCTCCACGTGTCCACTGGCGAGGCCGATGAATACGCGACCGGCTGCTGTGTCGAGTGAAATTGCCGTGATGCGTCGGGCTGCATCTGACGTGCGGTGCCGAAGAAGTGTGGCAAAAGTAAAAGCCGTGCGGAAGGTTTCGTCCTGCATGATCCTACGAAAACCTTAGTTCTCCAGGCCGGCTGGGTTCGCTCCTTTGCCTAACCCGTGGCACCAATTTAAGAGTGGCATGGCTATGGAAGGGTTTAATCATCACCGATTGGGGTAATTACAGCGTACAAATTAACTCTCATTAGTATTGTGTTCATTGAGAAGCTTAATGATATACGGAAGCCCAAGGGCCGAGCCAATACCTCTGTCCCTGGGAATATGCAAAGCAAGAAATTCGCAGTCGAATGATTAGCATATAACCTGTGCAAAAATGCCTTCAGGTTGGTGTCTTCCTCACAAACCACTCCAACTGTTGGCCCCGAGTGCTTGAAATTAACGGACTTGGCTGTGCCCATCTTACAGGGTTTCGGCTAGACATAGACGGCTGGACAAAAGAGTTTGAAGAATGCAAGAATTTAGCGCAGGCACGTGTTGGATTGAAAACCGTGTGGGTCACGGAGTCGCAGCTTGAGCGCGCTGGCTTGCGCTTTGCCACGTGCAGGAGACGCTGCAATTAATCCAAGAGCGAAACTTGCGATATCCAAACGGTGGCCCAGAGGCGTCACGCCTGTCAGCAGCCGCGCGGAAGAAGCTGGGCACGCTGGGCGTGCAGCTGGACCGGCTTTTAAGATGGCTGGACACTTCAGACGCCGAAGCTCTGTAAGCGCTATGCTTGGTTCCCTCGGAAGTTTCAGTTATAGGGGTCTAGGTCCTTTTGCAGTGCGGGAGGCCACCGGTCCTAAATGCATGAGGACGATATATACTTCAATTTTTTTGGTTTCCGCCGCGGCATCGTGCTGGCCAGCTTGAAGCAGAGTGATGCTAAAAGCCTTCCCCCATCCTCCCCGTTTAGAGATGTTGAAATCTTGGGCCTCCCGCGCATGGGAGATTCCAAGCAATCCCTTTGGCCCCCCTTCCCCCTCTCCCCCGCCCTGCAGCTCTGAGCCGGAGAAGAACCGGCGGCGGGACCTGCTGTACGACCTGCGAAACCGGAGAGAACAGATGCAGCTGGCGATAAAGCGGAGCCAAGGGCAATCAGACAGGTGGCTGGGCAGGATGACGGATGTGCTTGCCCCCCCCTCCCTCCCTCCCTCCCTCCCTTCACCCGTTCCCCCCGCCTTCCCTCCCTCCTCCCTCCTCGCCTCCCTCCTATGGCCATCAGCCGATCACCCTTCCTAGCGTGCGCGCCTCTGTGTCTCTTCCCCCCTACCCGGCCGCATGCATCTTCCTCCTCATGCACATCTCCAGCCTGAACTCCTGCGGTGCATCCTACGCGCAGGGATGCGCTGTTCGGGGGGCCCAGCGCCAGTGGCGGGCCAGCCGCTCCCCCCCGGGAGACGGAGTCCACAGCAGGCCTAGACAACCGCGGGCTGCTGGGGCTGCAGCAGCAGGTCATGCGGCAACAGGACGAGGAGCTGGAGGCCATGGAGAAGGTCGTCCACAACACCAAGGTTGGTGTGGGCGGAAAGGGACGGGCGAGCGCGGGGCGGGCCGGGTTGAGACGGGTGGCTGTTCGGAGAGGAGGACCGGATTTCCCGGGTACGGGTGGATGGCTATCGGGATCCCGAGGATGGATATGGCGGGGACGGTGAGCCGAAGTTAAGATGCTGAAACGGAGCTGTCACAAACGGACAACGGATTGCGGAGCCCCACTGATAACCCCCCCACACACACACACGCACACACACACACACACACACACACACACACGCACGCACATACACACACATATGGAGGGTGCACCGCCCGCGCAGTCACCCTCACCCATCCATACTTCTACATAACCCCCCGCATACCCCATACTTGCTTGCGTATATTTGTACGTATGTATTTTGATAAATTCCTATCTATCTATTTATCTATCTATCTATCTATCTATGTATCTCCGATATCACAGCGTGCCCACGTGTCCTTCCCCAACCCACCCCAACCCCGACTCTACCCCACCTCCATGACCCCCAACATCCCCCCTCCTTCCCCCCTCCTCCCCGCACATACACACCAGCACATCGCACTGGCGATTGGTGAGGAGGTAGACCTACAGACGCGGCTGCTAGACGACCTCGCGGATGACGTGGACGTGACACACAACCGCCTGCGAGCAGCTACGGCGCGCGTCAGGCATGTGCTCAAGTCCTCTAGCAACTGGCGCTTGGGCATGTGCGCCTTCCTACTCGTCATCACGCTGGTCGCGGTCATCCTCCTCACCGTCAAGCTGAGCAAGTTCTTTTGAGGGTTTGAGGGACCTGCGGGGGGCGAGGCCACCTCGCGAACACAGTTTGGACTGTGCATGGCAGAGGGGCCTGTTTATTCCTTCTAAGGAATATATTATTAGAAGATAAACGCTGGAGGGGGCCCCGAATCGCACAGGGAGCTAGGCCTTGGTTGTTGACGTAGAGCGAGAGCCTAACCCGAACGTGGGTAGAGAGAAACTGAGCGGCATGGAGCTGGTGGGAGCTAGGGGAGAGGGGCGGTAGGTAGAGGAATTCCTTGTATGTATGTGCGCAGTATGTCTTTAAAGGGGATTTATAGATTCGGTACTGCGTGTGTGTTTGTGTGTGTGTGTATGTGCGTGTGTGTGTGTGTTCGCAGCGGCGCTTTGTTAGGGGCCTGTGGAATGGGGAACTTGTTGTTGCGGTGTTGGCTTTCGCCTGGAATACAGGTGTAATTGGTGCAGGTGCGCTGGTGGCAGAGCTGGTGCAGGTGGTCCTTGCAGCTACTGCACCACCGTGTAGTCTCAAGGGAGAGCAGGCTCTGCCTTTGTTAGTGTTGTTTGCTGGGCTGGGGGTGGAAAGCTGCTCCGGATTTTAAAACTTTGGAGGAAGCGGGGAGCGTTGAGGAGATATGCGTGGTGTATTGCACGCTGGTCTCGTTGGTTTGGTGCTTGGTTCCACGGCCGTCACCAGCCCTGTTGTTCATTGCGGCTAGGCGGGTGCGGGTGCGGCTAGGCGGGTGTGGCCGCGATGTGTGTTGCGGAAGCGGAGGAGGTGCAGGTAAGAAGGGCGGCGGGCGGACACGCAGACGCTTGGAACCACAGCCAGCGTTTAAAACCCAGCGGTGTGTGTCTGCGTGTGTGTCTGTATGTGTGTGCGGAGGGGGGCTGGTAGAGGCAAGCAAAGCCACCAGAAACAATGAGCACACCTGCTCTTGTTGGAAGAGCTTATCGCAGCCTCGCTGTGTCGTTAGCATGCGACGCGTGTGTTGTATCCCCACCTCAAACACAAACACACACAACGCACTAGGACGTTGCGATTGTGCGCTTTTTGAACTAGGATGGCCGTGGAAGAGCAGAAAACGTGGGCTCCTTGACATGCAAGGCTAGAGCAGGCCTGGGTAACACGCTGTCACCATGCATTAGCGGTCCATTCTATACCAAAAAGGAAAGCTTTCTGTTCATCTGTTCTGCCCCAGGAGGATCCCGAGGATAAAGTTGCTTGTTTGCGTGGGCTGCTGCTCAGCAGGCTGCAGCATTGCCCTCATTGAAGTTGATGAGGGAGACGTGCCTGGCGCTGGAGGTGTCACCGCTAAGAGGCCGCTATTCATCTGTGCGGCTCCTTCCGTGTGTTGGCGGAAATTGCGCACACCGGGGCTTTGTTTGCGCGGGGGGGGGGAGGGGAAAGGAATACACACACGCACCCTTGTCCCCGGTATCGTTCGGTGCTTTTTGCTGTCCTCCTGGCAGTGGCAGCGGCGGCGGGTGCTGGTCTTTCCAGGTAAAGGGCGTGTGGCCCTTGGGTTACTTACGGTTTTCCAGTCAGGGTCGGTTAGGTTTTCCAAGCCTGTTATGGACAATTCCATCCGGTACATGCGAATCTGCTAGCGGAGGCTAGTTATGCAGACGAAATGTCCAAACCCGGCTCCTCGCCAGCGGCGCCCAACCTGAGCTCGTGTCCTTCCCCAGGCAGCCTCGGGTACCCACAACCCAACCTCTCGAGTGCGACAGCGGTAGCGGCAGCGCCCAACTCCCTGCCAGCTGCCTCGCGGCTGCACAAGTTGTCCCAGGTGGTCACCACACCCTTCCCTGGACGTCCAAACATCCGCCACCTGATCGCCACACCCACCCAAGCCAGTATTTGATCCGTTAATACTGCTAGCCTAATAATGACGTCCTCCCCGGACACACACACAGACACACGCGGTTCCTTTTGTAAAGTCACTCTTTACCGCCATCTTCGTCATTGCCCGGCCCCGCGGCCCAGCTCATAAGACTACGTGCAGACATGAAGACCTGCATATGGTTCCACAAGCCGAGATTCCGTCTCCCACTATCATCGTGTACGCAGCAGTTCCGAACCTGTTGAGTTGTCATGCAACTAACATTCTAGGAGACATTTTTTGTGGATGCCAAAGCGATTTGGTCCTTCCAATCGCCAAGGGCATCGATGGGGTGTGGGGAGGGTTAAAGAAGTGGTGAAGACGATTTGGTGTCCTTGTATCTCAACCCCATCGTTTTCAGACACAGCTTGGTGGGAAGGCGGCGGCCCCGTGTGTATTTGGCCGCACTTCTTCACATCGAGGCAGCACTAGTACGCCGATGTACTTGTAGGCATGAGTTTGTCATGGCGCATAGGGGAGCCATATCGGCAAACTCCCCCTGGTGGCATCCGTGCTAGTCCGGTCTTAGTCGTAGCCGAGCTTGCCGAGGTGTTGTGCGTGCCGGTGCGGGACACCTGTTCTTCCATTCCAGGCCTGTGTCCATTACAGCGACAGGCGATGTGCCTTTGACTCGGTTTCTTCGCCGTACGGTATAGGTATAGTATAGGTATCGTAGCCCGCTGTAATCACAACAACAAGCATAAAATGCAGGGAAACTCTCATCCGGTGGTCGAAGCAGCAGCAGCAGCAGCCTCCATCACCGCTAGGGACACCAAGTCCGTTAGCTGTATATGCCCATATGAATGGATCTACCCTCAACTTCAGCCAACATGTGTTGAACCCAATCACACTTACGGGCCGTCTGAGAAATGGCTTAGCCAAGAAACCGCGCTGCATGTGCCCCTCAGTCGTTCTCCCGCCCCCTTCAAAGCAATGCATATTACATACATACAGAAGACCCCTGCCTGGGGTCCGTGTACGGCACCACAGCCCTGCCAGCCGACCGTAAAGCGCTGTCTTATGACCGCAAGAGACAAAGGGTGGCAGTGAGGAAGAGGAGTGGAAGGGTGCTAGAGGATACGTGCGGCTAGTGAGCCGGCAACACGGAGGAGGAGCAGTAGCAGCAGCAGCTGCTATATGATCCTTATTAGCGGGTCACGTCCATTTCCCCTGCGTACCCCTGAGTAGGACTACCTAGTCGTAGCAGTTCGCTACCTAAAGTTGGTGTAGGCCTCATCTGGTTGGCACCATCCGAGCATGCACGCCCCCACTCCCTGGAGCGGCCCCCCCCTCAACCCCCCCTGGGTAAGCCCCCGCTCCCTGGAGCGGTTCCCCCCCCAACCCCCCCGGTAACACGGACCCTAATCTGATAGATATGATAACAACCGCATAAAGCCCTGTCTCTAGACGCCCCATGCACATGCATACTCCACTTGCCGGCCAAGAAGAAACGCCCCTGCGCCGTCCCTATCTGTCAAGAAACACAAAGTTCACATATGCGCACGTCCGCCGGGTGTCAGGGAACGAGCCGGGAGGGCGGGCTGCAGCGGGCTGTCTCGCGTCGCCTCCACAGCGACGCAGCGTCGATTAATGGAATGCGTATGCGTATGCCGCCCGGTTGCAGTGGCTGGTGTTTGGTTGGAGAGCCGATGTTATGTGCTGATGCTGGTGGTGAGGCAGCCAAGAGCCAGGATCACATTATTCGCCTAGGTTGCGAGCGGGTGGAAAAGCAGTTGCCCTCGCCAGCAAGCCCTGGCATCATGCGGCACGCTCCCCCGAACCGTGTCCCGTCCATCTCCGTGTGGAGGCTTTCCCATTCCGCCAAGCGTGTTCGGCCACGGTGTGCCCCCGTCATGTCGCTCACGAGCGGCTACACAACCCGCCGCTGCTGCTGCTGCTGCTGCTGCTGCACTGCTCTCGCGGTCCGTTCCTTCCTCCGCGCCCTCCGAGCTCCTCCTCCAGTTCCTTGCGCCGACACCGCTGCCATGGGCTGTTGTTCTTATTGTTGTTGTCGCTGCTCCTCTTTCTCCTCCTAGTTATGCTACTCGTGGGCCTCGAGGGCCCCCAACGGCCTCCTCATTTGGCAACCATGGCGTACACGCTGTTGAAGCAGCGAAGAGCCGCCTGGTAGAACAAGCCCAGCATAAACTTGACACCGTTGGCGCCGCCCGGGAAGTACGACATCAAGTAATATAGCAGCGCCACGACCTGTGTGCAAGTAAGCGGGACAGAAATACAAGTAGGCTCGCAAGCAAGAAAGCTCCGGGGACCCGCAGAGGGGATTTACGTGCGGGATTTGGTTTGGTTTCGGAGGATGGGGTGCGGCAGAGAGCCTCTGTGAGTTGGGGGTTTGGTTTCGGAGGCGGCAGTGCGGGCCGCGGCAGTCGCCGCCCCAGCGCGGGGCTAGGGAAGAGGATGCCGATATCGCCCCAGTTTCGTCACGGTGTATTTTGGGCCCTGGTCTAGTAGTCCCCAGGTTCGCCCGGGGTGGGGTGTGGACGGGTGCAGCGGTCCGGCGCGCAAGGGTCCTGCAGCCGGTCCCAGCCTGAGGGTGCAGTTCGGTTCGGTCCCAGCCTTCGGACTGTGTCCTTTCTCCAGCTGTGGCCATAAAGCGTGTTCGTGTGGGGGCCCCGCTTCCGTTCGCCCTGGCTCGTTTCGATGGCTGGGCTGGTAACGGGGTACTTACCTGTAATCCCGAGCACAGCAGCGACAAGAGATAGGACCGCATGATGAGTGCGGCGTACAGAGTGGCCAGGACACTGCCAATGTAGCCTGAGGGGACAAAGGAGAGGGGGTTTCAGTTATAAGGGTGCGAGGGAGGACAGGATGTGGTGGTGGTGATGTGAGGAGGACTTCGCTTAAAGCGGGCAAGGAGGAACCGATAGGTGAGATGAGTCATGTCCCTCAGGTGGGTTGCGGATTTTCAGAGGTGGAGTTTTGGGGAGTGTGGAAAGGCAGCATTGTGCACTGCATGGAGCCCAATAGAATGCTATGTCAGTCGAGCGGCAAGCGGTTTGCACTCACCCATGGAGTATGGCAATCGCTCGGAAGACATCATGTGCTGGAGCTGCTGCTTCCAGCCACGGAGCTGCATGAAGCCGACCATGATGCTGAGGCAACCCAAGGTGAAGCTGAGTGCAAACTTCGAGGGTGCCAAGATAACGACAGGCAGAAAGAGCATGAACGCTAACATCAAAAACACAGCTCCAGCTGCCATAAAAGAAAAGAAGTAGACCAACGCCTGTCCGCTTGGTATGCTGCGAGAACGGGTATTAGCAAGCCAGTCACGTCGATGCTGCTGCTGCACATCTGTCGCCTTGCTTGGTCGACCCGCACCTGAACGCTTCTCCACTTGCGACAGAATTTACTCCAGTTGTAACTCCAGTTTGTACTGTTTTAAAGGATTCGGAAAGGAAACTTGTCACCTTGGTGCCCGCCTGCTCTGCAGACTGAAACAGCGCTGAAGTAGAACTTGTTGACGCGCCACCACCAGCCTCAAGATCGGAGCCACGGCTTGAGTAATCCTGCCAGTCTGCGAGCAATGACGGTTGCGTTTTCTGGGGTCCCCGGACCCCACTAGCACCTATGGCCTTCAGGAACCCCTCCATTGTTGCAATTAATTCATTAAAGGCAACACTTGATCAGCTGCTGAAGCATGGTAAATAGACCTAGCATTACAACTTCAGTTCTCCGTTGGACGAGCCAACTGCAGTTGCAGTTGCAGCTGTTGCAGTTCCATGCTCAGCGGTGCTTAGTGGGTTCCCAATGAGCAGGGCCAGATCGCGGGATTGCGATTTTTGTGCCAAACTGAAAAGTTTCGAACAAAAGAAGTTCTTCAACGGTATGTTAGCTGGGCAGCGAATCCTTGGGAGGTCAAATCCTCGGGACGCCAACTCAACAAAAGCAGCACCACTTATGCAGATGACGTGACTGCGATTCAATGCCATAAAGTCCACACGGTAAGTCCATGTGACTGAGCTTGCACGGATGGGCATCCGATTCCCACAGGTCCAGCAGGTGGTTTCCTGAGTGGTGCCTCTACTGACAAGCTGGCCGACTCCCACGGCATCGAGCGCAAACAAGATGCTACTTGTCGTGCATATACCTGAGCAGCAGCGCACGTTTTAGCTGTACGGCAATGCCGTGGTCGGCATGGAAAGACCGGCAAATGAAGCTTCCTTTTTTTCCTCTGAAATCTCTGTATCTATCACACTCATTCATCGTCGTGACTTTCGCGTACTGCAAAGTTAAGCGAGCAGTTGTAAACAATGTTGCAGCACGCGCGGTGCATGAAATACGCAGCAGCGCTGCAGTAGTGGCCTAATGCACTTGATGGACTACCACTTGCACTTTTTATAATAAATTGCTTAAACCAATTGTAAGGGAATTTGGTCGCACAGCCATATTCAGGCCATTTGTGGAGAGAAAGCCTGGATTTTAAATATTTGGTAGGTCGTGCGATCTGTGGCTGCAAGGAATCATCCGATCCTTAAAAATACAAGTTTGAAAGCTCTGTGCGGAGGAAGGCTCGCCGGCAACAACTGCTACTTCACACCAGGCAGCGATGGGCACTCCCATCGCGCCCCCTTAAGAACTGCATGCAAGCAGCAACTCCAATCCTAATGCCTGTGGAGAGTATTGGTCCACGGTGTCACTTGTAGCAATACGCCTGCCAGTTCCTGTCCACTTCGCAACACATTCCATCACTGCGTCCTTGGTTCACCGGTCCATTACTTTGTGCAAGCCCCCCAATCTTATAGTCTAGGTGAATCCTAAGCTGTGTCAGCACATTCCCATCTCGTGATCTTGCGCTCGGCCTCAGCTCGGGACCTTACGGGCGTCACTTCCCTGTTCCCCGCGGGCCTGGTGTGGCTGGGGTGCTGTGGGTGCCCGGCCATGTTCAGACGGGGAGTAACCCTGATCAAAAGCTTTCCAGCCAAACTCGCCAAAGGTAAGCAAGCATTCCCTCCCATGCATCTCAGCCGAGCCCGGGGAGTAAAAAAGTAAAAATGTGCATCACCTTTGTGTGCCTTGTGGCGGTAGGTTTTTTGGGGTCTTCGCGACGCAAGACAAGAATATGTGTGTGGGGGTCATGTGGGCCACTGGGTGAAGGTGGGCGTGGGGGCGTGGGGGGGAGGAAGCACTTCCCCCTCATGCTCACATGTAAACCCTGCGTGCTCTCGACCCAGTCAAATCCCTTTTCCTACTTAACTAACCCCCCCTACACCAGCCTTTGTCCTTTCGCCGCGTCTTCTCCAACCTGTAGACTCTCTGTCCTCCCTTCCCCTTCGCCGCGTCTTCTCCAACCTGTAGACTCTCTGTCCTCCCTTCCCCTTCGCCGCGTCTTCTCCAACCTGTAGACTCTCTGTCCTCCCTTCCCCTTCGCCGCGTCTTCTCCAACCTGTAGACTCTCTGTCCTCCCTTCCCCTTCGCCGCGTCTTCTCCAACCTGTAGACTCTCTGTCCTCCCTTCCCCTTCGCCGCGTCTTCTCCAACCTGTAGACTCTCTGTCCTCCCTTCCCCTTCGCCGCGTCTTCTCCAACCTGTAGACTCTCTGTCCTCCCTTCCCCTTCGCCGCGTCTTCTCCAACCTGTAGACTCTCTGTCCTCCCTTCCCCTTCGCCGCGTCTTCTCCAACCTGTAGACTCTCTGTCCTCCCTTCCCCTTCGCCGCGTCTTCTCACAACTACAGTCCAGACTCTCTGTCCTCCCTTCCCCTTCGCCCCGTCTTCAAACTCCAAACTCTCGTCCTCCGAAACCCATCCAGGCCGGTGCGGGTACCTGCTGCCGGTCCTGCTGTTAGCAACTGTGATCGCGGTCATCTTCACACTGAGCAACTCGGGCTCGAGGCCTCTAGAACGATGCCTGGCTCGGCACTTGAGGGAGCGTGCGTCTTCGCCCCTGGAAGTCGTACACTTTGGAGCCGCCGCGCAGATTGCCGCACATGTGGGCGAGCCGCGTGGAGAGCTGCTCTGGGCGTGTACCCAAGTCCAACAGGCGCTTCGCGGCACCTCGCCGACGGCCTGCGCCGACCCAGATGAGGATGAGGGTGAGGATCGCGGTGAGACCAAGGACAAGACCCGTGCCGGCGGCTGCGTGTTTGTGGAGCTAGGCGGGCCGGGGCTGTGTGCGTTTGAGGTGGCGAAGCAGATGCCCGGTGTGGCGGTCAGGCTGCTGCCGTCGTCGCCACGGCTGGCGAACATGTCGGCTGCGCTTAACGGCGGGGTCGGCAATGTACGGCTCCTTAGCGTGGAAGAGCAGGAGGAGGGGGAAGCAGCGGGGGCCAGCGGCGGCGGCGGCGGCGAGAGGAAGGCCGGTGGTGATGGCGGCTTGTTGGCGGGGCTGTTACAGTCGTTGTCGGAGGAGGAGGAGGAAGGGGAGGAGGGAGCGGAGGAGGAGGAAAAAGGGAATAAAGGTGGCAAGAAGAAGCGGCGGAGTATGACGTCAACGTCAGGGTCGTCGCTGTCCATGGTGGTACAGGTCAACCTACACCACGCGCTAAGTAACACCGCGCGCGACGCGGAGCTGAAGCTTGTTCGGGATCTCCTAGCACGTGGTGCCGTACATGCAGCAGTCGTACTGATTCCGACAGGCTCTGGTGCTGGTGCTGCTGCTGCCGCTGCTGCTGCTGCTGGTGTGGTTTCTGTTTCCGGAGCGGTCCTGGTAGCGCGGCAGCGTGCCGCGGACATCGTAGGCGCGGCTGCGGCAGCGAATCTGAAGGCCTACTGGGGAGGTTTTGACGGCCTTCCCGTCTCTGAAGATGATCTCCGAAAGGGCACCTGGCCCCGGCCGGCGGCGGAGCCGCCGCAGCTCGCAGCGCTTACCGGCATATTCCTCGCCCGCAGCCGCGCGCCACCCCCCGCAGTACACCTCCTCGTGCCGCTGCGTGTATTAAACCGCGACGCGCGCGACGGCCTCGTAGGGGACCTCTGCCACTACCTCCTGGACACAGCCGCCGTGAACAACCTAACGGTCCATGTGGTTGGCCTAACGCCCACAACTGACAACGAGAAACCGTTGTTGGCCGGCAACAAGTTTGAGCAGAAGCTGCAGAAGCTGCCATTGCTTCACCAAGCCGTGATGAAGTCGCCTTCAATTGCGCCCTCGGATATTGTCATTACAGTAGATGCGATAGATACGGTGGCGCAGGCGCCAGCGGCGGTGCTGCGGGAGGCGTACTTAAGGGTGGGCGCACCGGTTATGTCGGTTGCGACGGAGGTTAATTGTTGGCCGCGGGGGTTGGCGCCGTTTTGCCGCATGTACGGCCCTGCACCTCTGGCGCGCGTGGTACCAGGCAAGGGGGTTCAGCAGCAGCAGCAGCAGCAACGGCGGCAGGAGAGGCAGCGGCGACAGGAGAGAAGGCGGCAGCTTTTGTCAGACGAAGCGGAGGCGGAGGAGTGGCGCCGGGCGGATGCTGCTGCACGGGAGGAGCTGGAGGTCCGGGGCTTGCTGCCGAACAAGTATATCAACAGCGGTGGCTTCATGGGCCGGGCCGTCGTGGTGGCCAAATACCTTAAAGACGTCGTAGGTGAGCGGGTGACTTTGGGTTTTCACTGGAGGGTTTTCACTGGAGGAGACGTCGCCATTACACGGACTAAACTCATGGAGGCTCAGGCAGCGCAAGGCACTCCCACTTCCCTCCACCTCTAGGCATCCGCTCCATTACACTTTCTCCGCACATTCAGCACACCTGGTTTGATTTCCTCCGCGTGCGTCTGTCTCTCTGTCTGTCTGCCTGCCCCTGATTGAATCCCCCCCTCTCACACCCGCTCTCAAGTCCCAAGTCCCATAACACCACCATTACTTTGCTGGGTTGCTGCGTGCAGCCCACCCACCTTGAGGTTGGGATTCCTCTGAGCTGACCGCGTGTCACAGCGCAAGTGTTGCCATACGTGGCTTTTTTTCCGAAGCTCTGTTCCCCCCGGGTGGTTATTCCCCCCCTTGCCCCTGCCCCCGGGTGGATGGGGCCCCTTGTTGCAGACCACGTCAACGGCGTGGTGACCACCTCCAGCTGGTACCCCGACGCATGCAGCTGCGTGGAGCCCGACGACCAAGCCCTCCTTACCTGTGCGCACCTCTTCGATGACAACCCCTACGGCATCACCTTGGATTACCGATCCGATTTCTTCTATAGCATATTCCTCGCCTCGCAGCATCTGGCCCCCAGCGGCAGCACCAGCGGCAGCCAGCGGCGCTGGGTGTACAACCTCACCTCCGCCACGCCCTTCATACTGCACGGAAACGGTTGGGACGGCAAGGAGCGGCTTGGACAGCTGCGCGAGCTGATTGTTGGGTCGGGCGGGCAAAAGGTGGAGGCTGGTTATGAGTTTTTGATGGATGGAAAGCGCACTCTTTACGGAAACGTGTGCCCGCGAGCTCGCGAAAGGGCAGGGCGCGCTGGCCAGGGCAGGGCCTCGTAGGTATGTATGTATGTACGTATGTGTGCGCTTTTGTGCTGCTGTGAGGAGGAGTGAGGGTTGAAAGCCTAGGGGGCTGAAACCCTCGGGGGAGGTGTAGATCCACTGTGTTGATCCGCTGCCTGCGTCTGATGCGATTTTGAATCACTTAAGGAAGATGGAAACTTCTCAAGATTAACGGATTCTATTCTTTTTCCTGAAGCAGGCGTCGTGTTGCGAGCGTGTTGCGCTGGGGTGTGGACTGAGCGCTAGCGTGCAAAGAGAAGTGGAAGCAGAACTGCAGGCATGGCTTTGGAATACAGCTTGGGTTAACATGGGGCCACATTTTACTATTTTGGCTCACTATTTGCTGGCGGCTGCCTCCCCGTGCGTGCGCTGTGTGTGTATGTATGTATATAGGGGGAATGGGCACTCAAGTCGCCCATTGAGTTGTGCGGCTTGGATGAGGTGGGAAGTCCGCGAATGTGGCCGTGCCGTCCCTTGCTATCGCGGCTGCTCTTAATGCGTGCGGTCTGGTCAGTACTGGTGTTGGAAGGAAGCGCAGGTGAGAGCCTGAGGAGAAGTGGAAGCAGGACTGCAGGAGTGGCTATGGGGTGCAGGTTTTGTTAGCGGTGGGGGAGCCTAAGGCAGGCCACATGCACATGCACAGACTCGAGAAGACTTGCGAGGTCAAACATGATGTGCCGCTGTTCGGAGACCTTGCACAGATCTACGACTGCAAACGGGGATCCCCTACATCGCAGGGGCAGCCGTGCGCCTGGGAGAGAGGCGCTGTGAGGTCTCAAACCGCGTTGGACTTGTGCATTTGCGCAACAATCGTTGTGCAGCAGCAACCCACTGCGTTTGTGACAATTACGGCATTACACAGTGTATTGCACGACAGTTCGCACTGCGCGCACTGAAATTCCTTTTCATCACTGGTCGGTTGGGGTACGGCAAACGCCCCTTTGTGACACGCAGCGATCAGAGGTATATGGCTAAGATTCAGGATGTGCTTCGACGCAGCTGGTGCAGCTCCTGCGTTTGTGGGGTGAACGCATTCCCCGGACTACCACGGCTTGATTTTACTGGCTGCTCGTATGTGCATTTCTCGTCAGGCGAGTCTTCCAGCGCAAATGCGTGAATGGTTTTGTTTTGTTTTTTCCATCCGTGAAGGGCGCTGTCAAAGTCGTGGGAGGATTTTTTTCGGAGCGAGGATGATCTGATTCGAGGCCCCGGCTACCAGGTTTCGAGGGAGGTGGCATGCATATCGAAGTCTGGTGGGCGACTACGCCTCCGCCGAACCGCCTGGTGTTGCTTGATGACAGGGTTTCCCAGAGCTATGGCGAGGTCCCCGTGCACGTGAGAGTCATGGAACGGGGACCCCAAAACGAACGGCGCAAGGCCTCACACGGGGAACGTAAACCCTCCCCGTCAAAATCGCAACAATTTGCATTTTTGTTTGGTACTTTTTCAGCAGCTCCAAAACGTTCTGATGCTGTAAAAGCTGCAAGCTTATTAGGTGTAATGATGAACGAAGGTTCAAAACGTACTCCCCGAACCGTTCCTTCTCTGTAATCCATACCCCGGTGCTGTCCTCCAGTATAAAGAAATGTTATTCAAGTACACTGGGCCGTCGTTGTGCTGTCATATATAGCGGTATCAACAATTACTTGCCCGTAGCCCAGAAGCCATTGAAAACAAAACCTGCCCTTAAGAAGACAGAAATAGTAGCGAAGGCACAGAAAGAAACTGCGGAAAACTCTGCCACCAAAGAACATGTGCCCTTGCTCCACATGCAGCCTGATCAAGACGAAGGTCCCGTAGAAGAGTATTTCTATAATAATCGTATACATGATGATGTGAATGCCGTGGGTGAGGAGGATGCATGATCGGGTGAGGGTTCGGACATTGATAAGGATGATGGGCCTGACGGCCCGAACTCCCGCCAGCTAGTGACGGAGGTATAATTTAAGTTCGTCCACCAAACCGTCGCATCATCGGGGCGCTAGGGCGCCTGACAGCTGCACGGGCGGGGTCTGGTGACACTCGGGCGCTGGAACCTGGGTTGGGCGATGTCGGAATCTGGACGCGCGCTTGGGGCCGTGGCCTTGTGAGGGTATTTTGGGGCTGTATGCAAAAAATAAGCCCGAACGCTTGACTTTGGGCCGGGGCGCTAGGGTGCCTGACAGCTGCACGGGCGGGGTCTGGTGACACTCGGGCGCTGGAACCTGGGTTGGGCGATGTCGGAATCTGGACGCGCGCTTGGGGCCGTGGCCTTGTGAGGGTATTTTGGGGCTGTATGCAAAAAATAAGGTGAGGAGGATGAAATGTTCACAGCTTCTTGTAAATAAACAGGCAATTCACCAGCGAGATGTACCTGTGGCATATCAACACTCATTTCATGCACACACGCAGCAGGATCATCCAGTATGCACCCATTCAGTATCCCATCACTCTCCCCAAACAGGAAGTCCTAGATTAACCCTCAGTTCACTTGGTCTGATTCCTGTTAGACCCCCCACGCTGTCTCTGTAGCAAAGCCGCGAGCTTGGCGCCCCTTCCCAGGCGTTGGCTCCGCCCGCCCCTGTTCCCCCGCTGGCCACCCCCTGTTGCTTGCTCGCCCCCCTTGGTTGGCTGCTTGCCGCCTGGTGGGTTGCCGGCGTGTCGATCACTGATGTCCCAGACAACATTTGAGTCCTGAAGGCAGTCAGGCCCATCATCCTTATCAATGTCCGAACCCTCACCCGATCATGCATCCTCCTCACCTTATTTTTTGCATACAGCCCCAAAATACCCTCACAAGGCCACGGCCCCAAGCGCGCGTCCAGATTCCGACATCGCCCAACCCAGGTTCCAGCGCCCGAGTGTCACCAGACCCCGCCCGTGCAGCTGTCAGGCGCCCTAGCGCCCCGATGATGCGACGGTTTGGTGGACGAACTTAAATTATACCTCCGTCACTAGCTGGCGGGAGTTCGGGCCGTCAGGCCCATCATCCTTATCAATGTCCGAACCCTCACCCGATCATGCATCCTCCTCACCCACGGCATTCACATCATCATGTATACGATTATTATAGAAATACTCTTCTACGGGACCTTCGTCTTGATCAGGCTGCATGTGGAGCAAGGGCACATGTTCTTTGGTGGCAGAGTTTTCCGCAGTTTCTTTCTGTGCTTTCGCTACTATTTCTGTCTTCTTAAGGGCAGGTTTTGTTTTCAATGGCTTCTGGGCTACGGGCAAGTAATTGTTGATACCGCTATATATGACAGCACAACGACGGCCCAGTGTACTTGAATAACATTTCTTTATACTGGAGGACAGCACCGGGGTATGGATTACAGAGAAGGAACGGTTCGGGGAGTACGTTTTGAACCTTCGTTCATCATTACACCTAATAAGCTTGCAGCTTTTACAGCATCAGAACGTTTTGGAGCTGCTGAAAAAGTACCAAACAAAAATGCAAATTGTTGCGATTTTGACGGGGAGGGTTTACGTTCCCCGTGTGAGGCCTTGCGCCGTTCGTTTTGGGGTCCCCGTTCCATGACTCTCACGTGCACGGGGACCTCGCTATAGCTCGTTTCCCAGACAGAGCAGTTGCAATTGCCCCGTGCTGACAATAATCGACAACGCGTCCAGTTCCTAAAATACAAAAACTCTTCGAGGCGCCAGCGTATGCGTTAAATGTCACACTAATTCGCGCTGTTGCCAAGATCTCAGCTTCACGGTCATTGGTCGCACAACCTCGAGTACAATTACAGGGCGCATACAGAAAGGATCTCAGGACAGTTTTGCCACTGTTGAGTAAGCGCTTTGTGCCACTTTTGTTTCCCGTTGCCCAACTCCCATGTCAAAATGGCGCCTTTGCACACCGTTTTTCGTCAAACGTGTTCGTCAAACTATAAGCTGACTGCGTTATTCCTCATATCCGTCAAACAAATTTGAAAACAGGTCGGTTGAAAGCCAATCATTCAGCGTGTTTCTCATAGAAACATGAGCGATCGGTGCCGCCTACCTTGTTGGTGTTTGCGTACAAGTTGGCACCACGCACCATCGATTCGTGCGAGAGGCTCCTGTATTAAGACTTCCGGGCATCTGGAGTTCCGGACACTCTGCGACTGTGCGACGGTTTCTACGTCGGTTTTGCCGTTGGCCGACATCCCAAGCAAGAAAAAAGCTATGAGAAACGCAGCGCTGGAGTATCATAAGTGAATTGAATCTAGCATCTTAATGAGACAAAATGGGTGAAAAGCGAAGAACTGGGCAAACGGAGGCCCTGCTGGGCTTTCGCTGGGGCCCGCAAAGTGTGTTGGAAGCGCGAAATAGCCTGCAAAGCGTGGAAGACCACAACATTTAAATAATGTGCTAAGCAAAATTTACTGCTACGCAGGACTGAGTATACACTTGTGACGCGTTGCTTTACAACCGGCTTTCACCGCAATGAAAAGGTATGGGTATCATAGCAAAGTCGAGAAGACTGATCTATTCCTGCTTAAAGACCCCAAGTTTTACTGAAGGGTTGTACATACGATATCTGGTGCGAATCAGCCGAATCCTGTTGTACTTTGTAAAGCTTACGGATTATGCAATGTAGACCAACCAGCTGCCAGTAAGGCAAGTATTACTACAGGGCGAATATCTAAGTGCAATAAGTTGCCCAAATTATGCTTGCGGTAGAGTCAGCGGCCCTGGGCGATGCCTAACGTCTTCGCCAACGTCAGCTGAGGTTGACGCTTGCGAATGGAGGTAAGTTGGATAGGCTTTTTATCGCATTTCAGTCTTTCAAGATTGCACGATTAAAATGTAGGGAACCGCATTAGTTGCAGCCCCACCCATTTTTGGACCAGCGGTTAGGTCTTATTGCTTTTCATGTAGGTCTTCCGACATCGTTGCTGGCTGGGCCATGGCAGCTATGGCGATGTACAACTTTGCGAGGTCAGCTCGCAAACTGCAGCAATGCTGTTGGGAGCGGACCCTCATGAAGCTGAGCTCATGCCTCGACCGATTTTTATTGCGCTGAAAACGTGGAAGCAAGCGCACACAGAAGATACGGTATGCCTCTTACACTGACGTGGATCCGAACCTTGCCGTTCTTGTTGACCACTTTCTGGATGTCGAGTTTGGATGTCGAGCAGCAGGGCGAGAGAGCCATGAACCACTTCAGCCCAAGATGCTGCGACCTATCTATAAGTAGATTGCTTCATTTTCAACATAGTTTCAACGGCCACTTTGACCTCACCCTCGCGCACAGGTAATGCGGATAGCCTTGCGAGAAGTCCAACTTCTCAAGGCGGTCAACCATCCCAACATCATAAAGCTACAGTGCGCTTTCAGGACGCCGTCAGGTGGGCCCTTGCGGAACTGCCAGCGGATGTCGCAGGGCTTGCTCCAAGCCCTGCTGTGCTCGCGATGCACTGCTTCGTTAATCCACAGCAAATCATGTCACGACTGCTTGACAAGCCTTTTTACGATATTGTCCATATTCCTACGCAATAAAATGTTAACTGGGTGGCGCGCTTCCTTTCTCGATGCACCTGACTTCCACTAACCGCACTACTTTACAACACTATTCGTTATCGATTCCACCGCAGGTTAGCGCTTGCTTGCGTCCACATCTGCATAAACACACATAGTGCAACAACAGCTTCCTCGGCTTAGACGGTTTAAGAACTCTTGCGCTAAGCACTGTCCTGACCTGGGATGAGTTGCCAGCTGGTCCGTCGGTTGCAAGGCGCATCGCGCTATGTATTTGACAAACCTTTGGACCCTTCCCGTAACGGCTCCCCCCGCTAATTTGGCGGGTTCTGAAAACGCAAAAGAAGGTGGAGGGAAAATGCCGTCTCCCTCACTCTGACAGCTCCGGAACCTGGAATCTAATCGCAGGACGGGTGTGCATGGCCTTCGAGTACGGCGGCAAATCAGCCCACCAACTCCGGGAGACGCGCTTCCCCCACGGCATCCCCGAACAGCTCCTTCAGCGCTTTGCCTTTCAACTGGTACAAGCGCTCCGATATCTGCACTTGCAAAAGGTAGGCGATGCGGGCAAGGTGCCGTACATATTCGTATTTTACGTATATCTAACAGCGCACATAATATTTTAGCAGGGACCCGCTCACTATCGGTATTACGTAACGCCCTCACTAGGCCTGTGTCGCTCTATGTGTCGCTCTATGTGTCGCTCGATGCGTCGCTTGATGTGTCGCTCGATGTGTCGCTCGATATGTCCCATAATCCATCCGCACCTGAGTATTATTATTATAAATCTCCACCTCCGCCCTGGGGAGGTATTTCTTTTGTTTCATTTCCACTAGGATTGCCACCATTGTGTTTTATTGCAAAACATTGGAGAAACAAAAACGCTGTTGGGCTGTGACAGCTACTGACGGAACTTCTTGTCCAAATCGTTCGCTTCGTATATGTCTAATTCGATCCAAATTTCAAATTTCAATTTCAGATTGTTCATCGGGATGTCAAGCCCGCAAATGTACTCGTGGATGCCGCTGGTGTACTGAGGCTCTGCGACTTTGGCTTCGCCAGACATCTGCCCGCCGCGGACGGCTACATCAGCGGCGGTGCCGACAGCAACGTCGACGTGCCGCTGACGCCGTACGTCATCACGCGCTGGTACCGCTCCCCCGAGGTGCTGTTAGGCATGAAGTACGGCACTCCGACAGGTACGGGAGAGTTATGTATGTTAACTGTGTATGTGCGTGCGTAAAAGAGGATGCACGCACACGGCCTGCTCCCCCCTCTCACTTTCCTCCCTCTCACTTTCCGCACAGCGAACGAAGCCCTCTTGGCAGCGGCAGGGCAGCAGAGGGTCCGAGGGGCTAGCGGCCTCAGAACAGTTTCAAGAAGTCCTTTCCGCAGACCTTTCCCCGCGTGTATGCGTATGAAAAATACACATGTATGTATGTACGTATGTATGTATGTATGTATGTGTATGTGCATGCATGTGTAAGTGACTACAGGCTACGACCCTCTCCATCCCCTCGCTGCCGTACACTATATGGCCCCCCCTCCCCCTCCCCCTCA